TATAAAACACGCATATTCTCTTTGTGCATCTGAATGAACATGAAACTGAGCGCACGTGCACGAGCGCAAAACCCCTCCCTGCATCCTCCCCCGTATGTATATGCTAATTACTATTCGTTTGGCAAAACCCAACAGAAAATGGCAAAAGCAAGCAAAAAGAGAAACTTTGAAAAGAATGTGGTTTGGAGGTGCTGCTTTCGGAGGTAGACCGGAGAAAAACTATGTTATTTGAAAGTTTGGAATTAATAACAAAAGAAAGAAATAGAGTGGGAGAGTTTAGCTGATGTGGTTAACACAGTTGGTTCTGAACATCACACTGAGTGGATTAAAAAAAGAAATAGTGCGATGTAAAGGTGAAAAATTTTGTAGTGTCTGACAGCGTGAGTGGCGTAGCTCGAAAAACACATGGCAACATGTTGACACGTTCAAGCATGAAATCGGTTCAAATCCAGCATCTGATGAAGACATTCTTCTTTTTTTCCCCCTCTACATATCAGATTTTGGTTACTCTTCATCACGAGGAAAACAAGTAGGAATCATTAATAAGTGTGCGCATCATATATTATTTACACATTTATTGAATGGAAATGTTTCTGATTCACGTACACAAATTCATCTTCAGATGGCACCTTTATAGCATTGTGTGTGCAGTCAATCGCTTCGATTACACTGGGAAAACCAGCGACTGCTGCAAATTGCGCTTTAATGTTTGGCTGGTCATCTGCATGGTATGAAAGCCTTATATACCAGCTAGACATTCGGGTGAACCTGTCCCATACAGCTGCCATTACACGGCTCAAAGATGTAGTGTGCTACTTAACACAACTGCCTCTAGGAGTCGCCAATGGAATTAAAACAAACACACACATGAAATGAACGTATGCCAGGCATGAAGTTGGCGTGGACCAACGCACATTCTCACGTTCATTTCATCATTAGTAAATCCAAACATGAGCATGAAACCTTTCGTACGCAAAGTTTTTATGCGTACGCAGCGTTGATACATGAGGCCCTAGGTGTGGCCAAAACAACAGTTTGGAACATTCTTAAAAGGAAAGAAAGCACCAGTGAGCTCAGCAACACCAAAAGACCCAGAAGACAATAAAAACAACTGTGGTTAATGACCAAATAATTATTTCCCTGGTGAAGAAAAAACCCTTCACAACAGTTGGTCACAACACTCTCCAGGAGGTAGGCGTATGTGTCTCAAAGTCAAAAATTAAGAGAAGTCTTCACCAGAGTGAATACAGAAAGTTCACCACAAGATGTAAACCATTGATGAGACAAAGGCCCCATTTATATGAATACGTTTTAGTTTTAAAATACATAAGTTTTGCTGTGGTTACACCATCCGTCCACACTACACCGAAGTTGGAGCACTGAATTTTGAGCTTTTTGAAACCACTGAAGAGGCCATTTTAATTTGAAAACGCTGCTGCTCCATGGCAGTGTGGATGGGGTAAAACGGAGACACCTGCAAACAGATGATTGAGGCTTTTTCCTCAATATTAAGTAGTCTACACAAAGTTCAGTCCTGCACCCCTTCCCATAAGTTAAGACTTCGATCTAAGTAAATCGTTTCCATTCTAAAACATCAATTTAAAACTAAAATGTATTAGTGTAAATGGGGCCTAAAAAACTGAAAGGCCACATTGGAGTTCTAAAAAATATAGACAGATGAGACCAAGACCAACATGTATCAAAGTGATGGGAAGCAAAGAGTATGACGAAGGAAAGGAACTGCTCATAATCCTAAGCAGTGACGCATGGTGATGTAGTGCCATGGCGTGGGCATGTATGGCCCTTGATGATGTGACTGCTGACAAAAGCAGCAGGATGAATATTGAAGTATTTTGGGCAATGTTATATCAGGGTATATACAGAACTTCTTGAGTTGAATTTATTACCTTTTACTACCTTTTATAATACCTTCAAAAAAAAATTCACTACCATCACGACTTGCACGAGCTGCAACTGTAGTGGCATAAATGTAATATATTTTCAAATGGAATAACATATTGCAGATAACATACATTTGAGTAAAGTCAGAGGGCTTAATCAAGGTGTCACAGTGGGCCTTTATCCATAGTTTTTAATCGATGTAATTTATGTCATCAAATGTCAATAGTCGCTCTTCTAAGAACAGTTCAGTAGGGTTACGGTTGTTTCTCCACTGAGCCAGGATCGGCGCAGCACAATTACAAACCATTCTCGGCCCGGAATTCTTAGCACAGTTAAGACAACTGTGCTGAAAAATTCCATGTGTCAGGGCTCGAAAATAACTTTTTTCTTGGTAGCACCGGTGCTCCCAACTTATATTAAAAATAATTAGGAGCACCAGAAAAAAAATGTAGGAGCACCCACCAAAAATTAATGAGCATCACTGCAAACTGTATATTAAGGGGTTTATTGTATTTTAAAACAACATCAATTAGGACTAACAAAAACCAGAAACAACTATCTGTGATCTACTACAACTATATACTAATTCTATGATGACTTATTAATATTTGTGCAAAAACAAAGGTGTAATAATTAAAGAATATTAATAATGAAGATGATGACAATAATACTAACAATTAATTACATTTCTCATTATCATGCTGCCTTGAATGTGCCTGAATGCGAATTATCTGTTTTAAAAGGTTGACTATTACTTTATGAAAAACAAATTTATGGTTTGCATCAAAAAAAAGTGAAGAATTGCAGTAAGAAACGTTTATTGTTCATTATTGTTTTTATATGCATGTTAATTTAATAAATAATATTTCTGTTACAAAACAAACAAAAGATAATAAATCATTCAATTCAATGCTGAAAGCTGCAAAGCAGTCATCAGTAACTAAATAGAAAAATTATATACATCTCAAGAAGGAACAGACGAAAGAAAGAAAAGTCTCACTTTTATCACTCTTTATAAGTTTTGGTTTGCGTCATTTTAAATGCTTAGTCTCGTTATGCACTGATTTACAGTTTTTTTGTGTTTGAGGGAAAAGACGGGGGAGTCAGCTGATCGTAAGTTGTTGCCTCGTTTACTCTAGCTTGCAAATGTATTTAGTTGTGATTTGTTACTTGTAACCGCATGTACTGTATCAGGTTAACTCGCTATATTCTACATATTGCTTTGTTTACGTTCGGTGGAGGAGGGTAATGTGTGTGTGTGTGTGTGTGTGTGCACGCGCTGTCGTCCGGAGGTGTGAGTGTGTGTTTGTGTGTGCGCGCGAGCTGTCGGCTAGGAGATCTCCTCGACAGTTTTTGGAGTTTTTGCTCAATAAAATAGTTAGTCGTCTGCCTTTTCAAGTCCATCGTCTGTATTTACATTCAGCCACTGGCAGCTAAACTCCATGCCTTACACTATCGAGGGTGTATGCACTGTGACTACTTCTATATTGCTGATTAGCTGCTGGGCATTTCACTTTGTCTCTTACTGAAGGCAGTCGACCAATTGCAACAGACTGTCATCGGTCCAATCAGCGCAGATTAGCTTCACGCTAAGGAAAGGTTTGGGAACAAATGAATCACTGGTCGATTCATATGGGAGTCGCTGGGATAATTAGGTAAAAATAAAATGCAAATTATAAGACCATGAAAGTGTTTTTTGATCTTGCATGCATATTAGACTGTTGTTGGAGACCCTTACAACCAAAATATGACCCTATTTCATGTATAATATGGGCTCTTTAATTCAATTACTGAATCAAAGGTGAGGTCGTCTATATGGTTGGCAGTAAGCCAGCCGGGTTTGTTTCAGTGCGCGCGCGAACTCCACTTCAAATGAGTGCGCTCAAGTCCTACTCTTTCTATATATAAATCCACGCAAAATTTAGAATAAAGGCCTACACTTAAAAAAAATTTCTAAAAACTGGGTTTGAAAATTTAATACCTTGTCAGACGACTTTTATTACTTTATTACTTTTTAATGGCCTTAACTTTGGCTAATTTTATTTACTTCCTTTTACAACCCCGCGGAAACCCTGTATTTGCTCATATTTAGCCAAATTCTTTAGACGTCATTGGACGGCTCTTCATAGAGCAGATAGACAATGACTAAAAGCATACTTTAAAACAACCAAAGAGTTTGGTGAAAGAGTTAAAGTGAAATGTAATGCAATTATGCAATGACCAAGTCAATCCCCTAACCTGAATCCAATTGAGCATGCATTCCACTTGCTGAAGACAAAACTAAAGGGAAAATCCCCCTAGAAAAAGCAGGAACTGAAAACAGTTGAAGTAGAGGCCTGGCAGAGCACCACCAGGAATATAACCCACTTTTTGGTGATGTCTATGCCTTTCAGACTTCAGGGTGTAATTGACTGCAAAGGATTTGCAACCAGTTTGAAAGTTTGAATTATGATTATTATTCTGTCTCATGACTTTTGGTCCAATTACATGTAGGAGGTGCATATGCAAACTGTTGTAATTCTTACACCAATCACCTGATTTGTACGTAAATACCCTCAAACTAAAGCTGACAGTCTGCTGTTAAAGCACATATTGTTTCATTTCAAATGCATTGCGTTGGTGTGTAGAGCCAAAAATGTTAGAATTGTAATAATGTCCCAATATTTATGGACCTGACTGTATCTTTACAAAATATACAAGTACAAGCAGTCCATAACATTGAACATTGTGTAATTTTGTAACTGGTAAAGCTAAATCTCTGATTTCAACAATGAAAATATCCCAATTGATATGTATAAACCAGTCTTAAATAATATTGTATTTCGAGCTTCAAAACATTGCTTATTTGCAAGCTGTTGTTAACATTGCCTTGCATTTAAGAAACAGGGCCAAGTATTTACAGGACTACAACCTGAAGTCAACACCAAATTAAGCATTTTTTTTTAATCACAGGTCTTTTAATAGTTATAATATTAATAACAACTCTCTTTACTTTGGCTTAAAATGATGATGTATCAGAGCATCTGCTCAGTACTGAGATTTTTATCTAATTAACTTTTGTAACATCTATGTAACATAAAAACAGAAATCAAACTTACCATTAAACCATAAATCTCTGAAGAACTTCTCACTTTTGGTAAAATTCCCATTGGTATATCAAAATATCTGTTTGAAAAAAAAAAAAAACACACATTGGGATCAATTTCTTTTGATGGTCCTTTTTGCATGTTTTGTTGACTATAAGATACAATGCAACTACATGAAAACTATTCTTTATTAAAATATTATCAAACTGTTTGCTTAATATTTGCTGACACTGCTCCACCAACAGACTTTCTCCTGACTATAAGAAACTTAAGAAAGTTTCTCTGGGGGGAAGCTGGGATCAGAAGTGTGCTTTTAAGACAGTTTGGTGGTCAACAAAAGCACTGGATCCTCAGCGAATACTTGCTTCACAGACACAAGAGATATATCCACAGAAAGCTTAAAATCTGTACTTTTAAATTAACCAATGCACTTGATAACAAACATTTTTTGGTATTGTAATCTGTATGAAACGAACACTAGGTACAATCATCCTGTCAAATGCACATCACATGACAGCAACTACTTAAACACTCACAGAGTTGTAAACAGTCGCTGTCATTTCTTCAGGAGATTCACCAAAGACCAAGTTGTGGATTACTTCAGAAGAGCAGTGCAATCAGGCGAAGCATTATGCAGAGGATAATAAAGTGCAGAATGGCCATAAATGAGGTTGGTGTCTGTATTTTGTTCCTTTTGAGTGCGCATGTGCATAAGCTCGGGCAACTCGAAAATAGGCTGATTATGTTGGATTCTGACGCTTAGAAACGAAACTTATGAGATGGTTGTTGTTTAATTTTATTGGTGACTCCAAATATGTAATGTAATTGTAAGCTTGGCAAACAGTTTTGGAGAATTTGATGTTTCCCCATTCAGACAGAATACCCAAGCATGCTGTCCGAGAGGTGTTTCAAAGATGGCTGCCCAGTGAAATGACTTGCCTTAAAGGTACTTTGACTAAACCTAATACCAACCCTAACAAAGTCTACACATACTCTAATTAGAAATAAAATGTAGCTGCAATGCAACTTATAAATCAACAAAATGTGTTAAACGTACTTGAAAAATAAACTGATACCTAAATATTTTATAAACATTCAATAAGAAAAAGTAAATGCAGGAATGCACAACACAATTTTTGCCTCAGTTTACGGTCTAGCCACAATAAATATAATTGCAAAAGACAGCACATTTTGGTTTCCAAAACTAACAATCCTCACATCATTTTCTTTATAAACACAAGGAAATAATTTGATAACTTGCATTACAATAGGGGTGTAGTAATACAAAAATATATAAATAAATAAAAAAAGACATTGTTCCATATGTAACTTGTTGTTTAAGTAATGGTCTGGTTCAATTCAACACAGGTTAGGGAGAAAAATGCAAAAGAAATAAAACTAAAATTTTACTTTAATTATTTTTTTTATACCAGCTTGGTTTAAATAAAATAAGAAACAGAGATAAAATGTAAAAAAAATTAATAAATCTCAAATTAACAAAATATAAAAGTGTAAATGATTACATACAGTATATATTTATTGTATACGCATTTATTATAAAACATAACTTATCACACTGGAGATTAAAGCCACACTAGTTTGTAATTAAGAATACATTTAAATCATCATGCATCATGCCAAGATCCAGGGAAATTTAGGAACATTCATTCATTCATTTTCTTTTTGGCCTAGTCCATTTACTAATCAGGGATATTAATTATCCAGCATACGTTTTACACAGCGGATGACCTTCCAGCCACAACCAAAAACCGGGAAACACCCATACAGCCTAAAGCCTGGTTTATACTTCTGTGTCAAGTGACCGGCGTAACCCACGGCGCATGCAACGCGCGTAGCTGTGCATTTATACTTATACGTCTCTGTTGGTCTGCATTAACACTTCCGAAACGCTAATGGGCAGTGAGGTGTTAATGTTCCTCTGTGTCGAGTTTCTTTGCTGCTGTTTTGTTTTTTTCTGAACGCATCCTGAATGTACAAGTGGCTCAAACTCGCTCATTTTGCGGCTGGAACCGGCGGACATGCAACAACTTTAACTATGAGGTAAACACAAAACAAAACTTTCCATCCGGAGCTCCATCACGGGATTCCACACCTGAAAACAGTCGCTTCATCGGGCTCACGTGGCTCTCATCTGACTCATCTGTGCTACCAAGCCGACCAATAACAGAGCTTGCGCTACGCGTAGGCTGCACCATAGCATACGCTTGAGTTTGACGCAAAAATATAAATCAGCTTTTACATTCACACACATACAGTATGGCCAATTTAACTTAATCAGTTCACCTATAGAACATGTCTTTAGACTTAGGGGAAACTGGGGCACCTGAAGGAAACTCACATGAACACGGGGAGAACATGCAAACGTTACACAGAAATGCCACATGACAAACCTTCTTGCTGTTAGGCAATTTTGCTACCCACTGCTCACCATAAGATAAATGAAATGATTGGGATCTACCAGTTTGGAAAAGGTTATGAAGTCATTTCTTAAGCTTTGGTACTGCAGTAAACCACCATCTACAAGTGGCAAAAAATAATCATAATCATAACAATCCTAGATTTTTATTTAACACCATCTCTAAATTAGCAAATAATCGGTCATCCTTGGAACAAACTACTCCACCGCAAATTAGTAGTGATGACTTCATGAATTTTTTCAGTAATAAAATAGAAGGCTTTAGACAGAAAATAGGAGATGCCAAACTTTCTGCACCGGCTTATACTCCAAATCCTGTAAATATTTCATTGAATCATAATAATAACCTACACTGCTTCAAAATCATAGAACACGAAGAGTTAGTAAAAATTATAAATAGCTCTAAACCAGCTACGTGTATGCTGGACTCAATCCCAACAAAATTACTGAAAGAGCTGCTACCTGCTATAGGAGAACCTCTTCTTAACTTTATCAACTCTTCTTTATCTATAGGCCATGTTCCAAACTCTTACAAGCTAGCTGTTATTAAGCCTATTATTAAGAAACCGCAACTAGACACCAACAACTTAGCTAACTATAGACCTATTTCAAATCTTCCATTTATGTCTAAAATACTAGAAAAAGTTGTTTCCACTCAATTATGCTCTTTTCTGCAGACGAACAATATTTTTGAAGTGTTTCAGTCAGGTTTCAGGGCTCACCACAATACAGAAACCGCCTTAGTGAAAATAACCAATGATTTACTCTTAGCTGCTGACCGAGGGTGCGTCTCGCTATTAGTTTTACTCGATCTTAGTGCGGCATTTGATACCATTGACCACAATATCCTCATAAATCGCTTAAGGTCTACAGGTGTCCAGGGACAGGCTCTACAATGGTTTAAGTCATATTTAACTGACCGCTACCAGTTTGTGAATATTAATGGACAGCCTTCACAAGTCAGCCCAGTAAAGTATGGGGTGCCTCAAGGATCAGTTTTAGGCCCTTTACTGTTTACAATTTACATGCTACCTCTGGGAGACATTATTAGAAGACATGGGATCAGCTTTCACTGCTATGCAGATGATACTCAATTATATATTTCAACTAAACCTGAGGAGACGTCTGAACTTTCTAAACTAACTGAGTGTATCAAAGACATCAAAGACTGGATGACCAACAATTTTCTTCTCTTAAACTCCGACAAAACAGAATTATTACTTATTGGGCCTAAATCTTGCACACAGCAGATCTCGCAACTCAATTTACAATTAGAGGGATACAAAGTTAGTTTTAGCTCTACTATAAAAGATCTGGGTGTCATATTAGACAGCAATCTAACTTTTAAAAACCTTATATCCCATGTCACAAAAACTGCCTTCTTTCATCTGAGAAATATCGCTAAATTAAGAAATATGCTATCCATCTCCGATGCAGAAAAGCTAGTCCATGCTTTTATGACTTCGAGACTGTATTACTGTAATGCTCTATTTGCTGGCTGCCCAGCATCCTCTATTAACAAACTTCAATTAGTAAAAAATGCAGCAGCCAGAGTTCTGATCAGGTCTAGAAAATATGATCATATAACCCCAATTTTATCCTCCTTACACTGGCTGCCTGTTAAGTTTCATATTGAATTTAAAATATTACTTCTCACCTATAAAGCTCTAAATAATCTAGCTCCTGTTTATCTAACCAACCTTCTGTCTCGCTACAAACCAACTCGCTCTTTAAGATCTCAAAATTCAGGGCTTCTGGTAGTACCTAGAATAGCAAAATCAAGTAAAGGAGGTCGAGCCTTCTCTTTCATGGCTCCTACACTCTGGAATAGCCTTCCTGATAACGTCCGAGGCTCAGACACACTCTCCCAGTTCAAAACTAGATTAAAGACCTATCTGTTTAGTAAAGCATACACTCAATGCATCACCTAGCGGGTTCCACACAGGCTTCTGCATCTTGCTTATATACACTATGAACAGCAGCTACGCTAATTATTCTCTTTATTCTCTATTTTCACCTGGGGATACTCATCCCGAGGTCCTCAGATTATGCTGAGTCACTGATTGGATCCAAGACCAGCGACGTGATGATCCCAAGGATTCCATATCCGGGACCAGGCCATATCCTGAGCTGCTGCTGCGCTGATGGTCGTGGGGAGTGGAGAACATGAGTCTGATTCCAGCGACGCTCCAGGGACAGACGAGTCTTCGCTGAGGCCATCTTCCAGCCTAAACCACGGCGAATGAAGCTCTGCACAAGACTTTTGGCCAGCGGAGAAATTAAAATGGTCGTGCCCAACTGAGTCTGGTTCCCTCAAGGTTTTTTTTCTTCCCTCCCATCAGGTGAAGTTTTTTTTCCCTCTCCGCTGTCGCCACTGCCTCGCATGATTCAGGATTGGTAGAGCTACGCATCGATGAATTTGCTCTTCAGTGTTTGAACTCTCAGTAATGATTAAATCACACTGAACTGAGCTAAACTGAACTGAACTGAACTTAAACACTAAAACCTGAACCACACTGTTCCAGTTACTATGACCATTTATGTGAAGCTGCTTTGACACAATCTACATTGTAAAATCGCTATACAAATAAAGCTGAATTGAATTGAATTAAAAAAACATGAAACGGTAGAGAACCTTATAA